ATAGCAACACTGTATATGCTGTGCATAAGGTCACTATGGGTTGGTACCGACTCGATGGCACCTAACAACAACTACACATTTTTCTGATGTGGCGCTGTGGGATAAAGCACTGGACATCAAGGTTGGCTTGAACCACAAGATCGGTGGTTCAAACTCACTAGCCGCTCCTTGGAAACCCCTAAAAAGCACACCCCATAAGAAGCAAGCAAAAGAAAAAATGCCATTTATAAATGTAGCTTTAAAAAAAAATGTTTGTATCTTTTTTACTTTGTTGTTTTTATTATTTACAAGATCTTGCTTTCTATTTTTTAAAAAATGTACTTTTACAATTAGTATTTCTTTTTATCTTTCAAGTTATGCTAGTTACAAAAGCAGATAAGTCAGAATTTTTTCAGTCACTCCTCGGAAACCCTTTATGTGATCACTATGAATCGGAACCAACTCCTCAGCACTTAAAAACAAACAACAACAATATATTAATAGCTACATTTATTATGTCATAAACCATGAGTCAGCCAGCTATAGTCTACAGGCCAAACCTGGCCTGCTGCCAGTTTTAAGATGTCCATTACATGAAGTTCACACGTCAGTGTCCATAAATAAAGTTTTACTGCAACATAACCACACCCATTTGTTAACTTGCTGCCTGTAGAGTTGAATTGTTAAAATAGAGTTCCTATGGCTTGCCAAGCCTAAAGTATTTAATATCTGGCCATTTATAAAACATCTACTGATCCCTAGAATAAAATATTATGTTAAAGCATTTAAAAAAAATATTCATGCTAAAATTGCCAGCTTTTTTTTTTTTTTTTTAATTGTAGCTTTTTAGATTTATGTGATCTTGAGGACAAAGCCATTATTGCAGTATATAATAAAACCTTCCATGTGCTAACACCTAGTCATTCACAAGAAACATTTTAGGCAGGGCTATAGAAAATTGAAGGGAAATTGTGTGATTGCAAGCGTACCTACAGATTTTCGCTACGTATTTATGCTAAAGCAATCACTGTTCTCTCAGTCGGTAAAGTACTAAGGCAGTGTGCTTGGAACTGTTTTGTGGTCCCATGTATTCTTGGATGTAAGGTGACATCTGGTAGCATAATGGTTATTAGTCAGGCTGCTAATTCATGTCAGTAGTGTGAAACTACCAGCGGTTCCGTGGGAGAAAGATGAGGCTTTCTGCTCCCATAAAGATTTACAGCCTCAGAAATCCGATACAGGGTTGCTATGAGTTGGAACTGACACCATGGCACGTGACCACCACCACCACCAAAATAGTAAATGATGATGTTGTTATGTACTGTCAAGTCTATTCCAACCCATAGCAACCCTGTATAGGGTTTCCAAGGAGCAGCTGGTGAGCTTGAACCGCCATCTTTGCGGTTCAAATGACTTTGCTATCCAGTGCATTAACCCACAGTGCCGCATAGGATCACATTGTGCTAACTAATAATGATGGCCACCTTGAGTTCATTGTATATGGCTCGATTTTTGCATCAATCCTGTAGCTAAATAGGTATTACCTGCATTTTCTAGAGGAGAAAATTGAGAGCTAGAGTATCTCTCCTCAGTCACAGCAAGTAATGACAGCTGGCATATGAACTGACTTGAAAGTGGTCTTCAGTTGTCATTGTGCCTCAGCTGCTTCCTGTGGTACTGAAGAAATGATAGGAGACCTTAGAGGTCTTCGATTCAGAGTCAGAGTCTGACACTGCCAGGATTGAGAATGGGCCTGTAATTGGTCTTCTTTCCATGCTCATGGGAGTCCTGGTGTGGCTCTGTGGGCTAATGCGCTGGACTGCAAAGGCAATTTGAACCACAAGGTCAATGGTTGACGCTCACTAGCCACTCCTTAGAAACCCCATACAGGGCCGCTATGAGTCAGAATCGGCTAGACGTCACTTAACAACAACAACAACCAGCTCATGATTATTTGTTCTTTAAATTTTAATTTTAAACGTTTTGTTATTATGAAGCAGTGATTTATTATAAAATTATTTCTTTTCTCTCTCCCTCCACTTGCCAGCACTGTTTTAGCTGTAGTGCTCAGTATAGCAGTACTGCCCTATGAAAAAGAAAAGGGAGAGAAATCAGGAACCTTGCAGAAATAAAACACCTACTCTGAGCCTCAACTGTCAAATAGGACGATAACTATATTTCAGAGTTCCTGTGAAAACTAATTTCAATTATGTATTTATGGCATAGCACCTGAAACTTGCTAGATATTATGTAAGTAGTTTTTATATTAAGAATATTTATCATCTCAACTAGAAGTTAAGTAACTATATGGCCATAAAATGTCCAGTTTTGTCTACTGAAGAGTAAAAGTTCAGGCTTTCTTGACCTCCATGTGACTGCCAGCATGATTAGTGACCCAGCTTGTCCTCCATGCCTAAAATACTGACCGATGCCCACAGTGTACTAAAGTTGGCAGGCAGATAGACTACTTCCTCGGAGTCTGAGAATTGTAGAGCTGTTTGCTGACTCTCTGCTTACCAAGAATCAGTTAAATCTGATTATTGTTGTTGTCGTCCTTAAGTGCCGTCGAGTCAGTTCTGATCCATAGTGACTCCATATAGGGTTCCCGAGGAGCTGCTGGTGAGCTTGAACCGCTGACCTTGCAGTTCGAACAGCTTTGCAGTCTGGCGCATTACCCCCCAGCACCACAGCAGGACTCTCTAAATCACATTAAGTGTGGATAAAATAACTTTTTTATTGTTAGGTGTTGTGGAGTCCATCCTGACTCATAGCGGCCAGCCCTGTGCAGGGCTTCCAAAGAGCATCTGGTGGGTTATTGCCCAGTATGGCATCAGGACTCCACTCTGATGCCTGTGCGACTGGAGAGTAAGACTATTAGTGCTGCAGCCAGCTTGAGTGGCCAGTGCCTGCTTCACTTACCCGTTGCCTGAAGTCCCAATCTGCTCAGATAAGAGAGGGGCTATTCCAATCATGTCAAATGAGAATTATGGAATATACCAGCGTCTTGGTGTGGTACTAAAGGATAAGCACTGCATTACTAATCGCCAGGTCAGCAGGTCAAACCCATAAGCTGTTCCTAGGAGACCCTACATAGGGTTGCTATGAATCAGAGCTGACTGGACTGCACTTAACAACAACTTGGAACATACCAATTAGTGCCAGAAAGAATAATGTCACTGGAAATACTAGAATTAGAATCACTGTATTGGAAGAAAGAAAGAACAAGGCTTATCTTGTCACCTGAAAACAGAAGCTGGGTCAGCAGAAGTATGGACATTTCTCTCTGTGTTTCAGGAGGTGATGGCATAGGGCCAGTACTAGAAATCTGAAATCACATTTCCTGCAGTTGGATGCTTGCATTCCTGTAATAGCAAATGTTCACATACATACGGAAATATGGAGGTGTTTTCCTAATAGGAGTGTTGGCTTAGTAACTGCCAGTGAGCTGCTGTCTGCTGATGGCGACGCGGTGTCGAGCTGCAGAGCAGAGCTGCTCCAGTGGGCTTTCTGACTGCCATCCTGTGGGCTAGTCGTCATACACTTAACCATTGGTGCAACCCAGGGATTCCAGGGAGCTAGGGTACGAATAGTAATGCTCAATTCCTCTCTTAATTTATAAAACAGCAGAAAAGTTAACTTGTGGAAGGAACATAGGAAACAAATGCAATAGGAAACGTTCTAGAAATCAAAACGAAAAAGGCTACATAGAAAAAAAGGAATTTAACCTGTGGTGTAATTATTTTTTATTAAGAAGATCCTGGAAGCATTTACTACTGGAAAGTAAAGAGAAAGAAGGAGCCCCTGGGTTGTGCAAAAGGTTAATATTCTGGGCTGCTATTGGGCAGGTTGGCAGTCAGTGTGTGACCTCAGACGGACCTGGTGATCTTCTTCCAAAATGTCAGCCATTAACAACCCTACAGAACACAGCTCTGTGACGGGCGGGGCTGCATGCAGTTGGGATTGACTGCACAGCATCTGGTGTTTTCGAAGTCCTATATGGGAGTAAATCCGTGTGGAGAACTGTCGCTGTCTTCTATCACACCGGTTTTATTGTATTTTTAGATTTAGCTTTTTATTTTCTGTTAGTATCCATTAGTGAGTGGGAAGTGGGTTAGTAAAGGAACATTTCAAGTTCATAAAGGTAAAATTCATGTAACAGGGCCAAGCATATAGTAATTTGATAAATATGTGTGTTTTTGTTTTGTTCTTGAGTCATCATAGAATGCTTAGTTTCAAATCCCGTCTTTGTTACTTTCAGACCCTGTGACTTGGCAAAGTTACTTAAATTTCTCCTGATTTCAGTTTCTTGTTTATGTAAATAATAGGGGAAAGTAACATTTTTCATGGGTCATGAAATGAATTGTGACATGTTTAGCATCATGCCTGACACACAGAAAATGCTGGGTTTTGTTGTTATATGTAATTTATATCCATTTGCATATGAATCCACATTGCTGCTTATTTTATAAGGTCAGTACCTTCACTGGGGATAGAACAGCATGCGTTCAGTAGAAACATAGTTACGTCATTCTTCATTATATAAAAATGCCAACGCTAGAATGAAAAATGGCAGTAGAAATGGTTGCTTATAAATGCAGTATTCCAGATGGACATTTTCTACTTTTTAGATTTGTTTGTTGACTCGGGTAGAGTTGTTTGCTCTGTAACCTTACCTCCTGGCTTTGTTATTTTAAGCTGAAGAAGAGAATCTGTATCAAAGTAACACAAATTAGCTGTATATTGTCTTGTCTTTATATATTGCTGATTTTAGTATTTCCACGTTTTGAGAAGGTACACTGCTCTTATTCCTGTTATAGCTAAGACTTCTTTCTGATCATCACCAGAAACGAGCTCATGGAAGAAGCTGAGGTAGAGGCAGCCTAGCTCTAACCCCTGACTTCTGTGTCTGACCTGCATGTGTTTTATGCCATCAGGGCATTTACTCGTCTCTGTTACATAACTTACTGTCGTCCAAAAAACTCCCTGTAGTAGTGTAAGCTCCTTAATGGAATTCATGCCAGCTTTGGGCGTCCAGGAGTGGAATGTTATTGCCAGCATGAGAGTGGAGCTGCAGTCATCCAGCTTCAGTTTTTGATTAATGAGGTGAGTGCCTTTCATCTCCTCTACTCATCTAGGAAATGGGGCCCCTCTTGTCTTTCAGATTCTGCCCATGCATTTGTATTTAAATAGTCAAGCAAGTAGAGTTTCCTACAGGTCAGAGATAAAGTAGTTGACTTTACAACATCATCATGAACACTACCGTAAATAATGTCAGATGTATCGCCAAACGATGTTGAAAATAGAATGCAAGGTAAATACTTTTTGGTAGAAGGTGCCACAGTTGAAATTTTATTTTAGGATATCTGAATGTTATATAACCCAAACTCTGGATTAACATATCTTTTTAAAGTTTGAGCATGTTATAAATAAAACACACTTCTTTCATTAGTGTTTTTTATATACAACTAGAAAGCTAACATCCATCAGAAACTGGTGACTGCCAAATTTCCTCAGTAACACTGGTAAGTTGTGTTACTTATTTTTTTGAAGCAATTGACATTATTGTTTTTCCTTTTGGCAGAGTGTAAAATAGGGTGGAAGCTAGAGACCGTACCATTTTACCAGCATAAGAGACAGTGTGTTTGCTGGCTTTAAAACGTGGGAGCGGTCCTGGGAATAGGTTACTCCCAAGTGGTGACAGGTAGGCAGTGCTAGTCTTAGAAGGAGGAAAGAAACAACCCTAGGAGACAAAAGTCTTCAGGTAGGAGGATATTCTGTCACCCTATCTTTGTACTAAGTATTTGGGGCTGATGGAATCACTTTTTAACTTTATATGAAAGCAAAGGTACTGAACATATTTCATTTATATCAAAGGATGTAAGAGAGGTAACATGGGTGCAGAGCTGAAGCTGATAATATAAAAATGTTAGTAAATTTGAGATCCAAATAATGGGCAATGTATAGATTTTTAGGGTCAGAAGAATTGTTTTTAAAAACGTCAGTATTCTGTAGAGAAGTTAATAGTAGGCATTGTAAAGTAGGAAAACGATGTGGCAGTCTGATCCTTTAAAGATGACAGCCTTGGAAACCTTGTGGGACAGTTCTCTGTCCTAGAGGACTGCTTGATGGCGCATAACCACAACAAGGTGCTAAAATACAAAACCAAAAAGATCATAGTGTAGAAGGTTGCTGAGCCCCATTTGAGAATTTAAGAATATATATCATATATACATACACACACACACAGTGGCTAGAATAATGGGATCAAACATAGCAACCAGGTGACTCACAGTAAGTTTCAAAATAGTCACAGAAGTCCTGTGTACTCTTTACCTTTGTTTCCCCCAATGTTGTTGTTGTTAGGTGTTGAGTCAGTTCCAATTCATACAACAGGACAACCCTACATACAACAGAACAACCCAACACTCCCCAGTCCTGCGATAGCCTCACAAATGTTTTGTTTCAGCCCATTTGCTGCCACGGTGTCAGTCAATTAGAAGTAACATTTTATATAACTATGAGAGGGCTTTAAAGACTTTAAGGAAAAATGGAATTTTTTCCTTGAATTTTTTAAAGCCCTTTATATGATACAATATCAAAACCATGAGGATGGCATCAGTATAATACTATTAACTAGACTCCAGATCTTGTTTAGATTTTACTAGTTTTTCTAAGCATTCGTGTGCACACACATGTATGTTTAGTTTTAAACACTTCTTGTCGTGTAGATTTGTGACTCAAACACCACAACCGATGTATAGAAAAGATCTATCACCACCAATAAACCCCGTACTCACAATATTTTATAATCACTTGGCCCCTAGCCGGAAGCCTCTCTCCATCTTATTTCTTTTGTTAAGATTATTTTTTTAAAGAAATATATTTGAAATATAACATACTGCAAATTAATTACCTATACAACATGACATTTGAAATTTTAAATGATTTAAGCTGTTGGACGCTTAAATCGTAGAGTTCTTTAAAATGGCCATCTTTCAAAATTTTATATGCTAAAGTGTTTCATTTTGAAGTGTTTACACATGCCCTTGAAAATGACTCTCTAGAAATATTGTCTAGAAAATATATGAGTGTTTAATGGGACAGTTTTGAAAATGTGACCCTTGGGAGTGCTCATTTGCTTTCATTTCTGTAACGCCTTCCAGAGGGAAAGGAGGTCAGCAATTATGGTCCTGTTGCTCCATGTCTTGTCTTCTGTTTCGTTGATAAATGGCTATAACATGTATTATAATCTGATTCTAAGGGAGCTCTTGTGAGTGCCTTGGCTGATGACACCTTACACTTATGGAATTTACGTCAAAAGAGGCCTGCGATACTACATTCACTTAAATTCTGCAGAGAAAGGTAAGAAATGATATTTGTGATTCTATTTTGAAGCATGTTCTGTTTGAATTGTAATTGTTTCATTTTCTACTGGAGAGAGTTGCATACAATGTAGACAAAAAATTCAGAAAGTTCAAAGGCCACACAGTGAAAAGTTTCTTCTTTTATACCCGTCTTCCTCCCCAGAGGAAATCACATAAATTGGTTGGTTGTTCTTCTAAAAATATTTGTAATCTTGTATATAAGCAGACATCTCTATAGCTTCCTTTTAATTTTATTTATTTATTTATTTTGCATAAAGAGAAGGTCATTACATATTCTTTTT